AATTACTGCAACTAGCACGTCTTTACATGGTTAAACGCCCGCATGACAAAAAATGTCCAAACCTATACAGAGAGTTTAGTAAGTAAGGAAACATGTCAATTGTTAAAATTAATGAGAACAATAGAAATCCGTTCCCTTACTTACTGAACACTCTGTAAAGGTTTAGAAGAAAAACACTAATTATTTACTGTTTATTTAATGAATTTTCTGTGCGCGTATGCGTAAAAAGTGCAACTACTCATTATTGTAACTTGCAATAATGAGTTACTTACAATTTTTAAGTAATTCATTATTGTTCGCGTGTCAAGTTGAGATTTACACAATTTTACGAAAAATATCAAATTCATTTACTTCATACTTCGAAAGTTTTTAAAAGTATAATTTTTATTTGTTTAATTTCATTGTATGCATTACTTCATAATACAAAAAAAAAATGTTTAAACGGTAGTTCGAATTCTATAGGTATTAATGGTTACTTATAAAGTTTACATTGAACAAATTAACCTATATTCTATAGTATGACGCAATTTTTAAGAAAATTGTAATTTCTTTTGTGATTAAATATAGGTAACAGAAAAATTAAGTGCATAAACGAACAAAATCACATATTTTTGGAAATTTCATTTTATGAGTAACAAAATGATAATTTTCTCATCTAAATTATTTGTTCTTCTAGTACTTTTTAAAATGAAATAAGCAACTTATTATATTCAATTCAGCTCATTTTAATTTTTAAATTTAGTCTTAAGCAAAAACCTTGACTTTTTGTAAAATGAAAGTGAAATTATTTATGAAAATGAATATTAAAAACTCTGTGAAACATAATGATAAACATTATTTGAACATTAAATCAAAAAGACGATATATACCTGTAAAGAAGTAGTTACTATTTATTTTATGTACTTAAAAGTCGAAATAAAATTATTTTAAACACATATTTTCACCAATCAAACTATAATCAGTTCTCAAGTTCCTTATTTAATAAAACCGTTTTATCTCTACCAGTCATTAAAAATGTTTAATTATAACCGTAAAATATAATCGTGTACTTTTTTGAGTAGAAACAACAATTATGTGAGATTTGATTACTTTGTGGTAACCGAATTATACAATTATCGATGTTATTTCTGACTCGTTTAATTTAATAATTTTGATTCATTATTTAAATTCCCATAAATATTTGCACAGCCCTTTGGTGAAATTACTATAGTTCATTAAGAAACTGAGTTTGTACATAAGATACACATTAATAAAAAGTGGTAATGAAAGTGAAAGAATATTTACTATTTGGGTAATCTCGTTTACTTTTTAATGTTCTCTCTATAAGTTGAGTAATGATTTTATTGGATTACATTTACATTTAATTTTACAAATCGTAAAAAAGTTATTACATTGACGTAACAAATTATACTATATTTAATCCAAAGATGTTCATATGGTTGATTCTATGACTGAAAATAAAAAAGATTAAGCCGAAATGATTTTAATGATGATAAAGTAGCAACTTTTCTCTAGTTAAAATTACAACCATCAGTGTTATTATTTGTAAGTAATGCGTTGGCTATCAACTAAACCATCGAAACATTTAAAAACCCATTTTGTCCTAGTCCCAAAAAACAATTATAACCTCACCATGACCTGAAATAGTAATTTAGTTTAGTGCCGGACATAGATTTCTTTCTATGTTAACGTTCAATTTGGTGGCTTGACAGTGTTCATATTTTATAACATTTACCTATGTCATCTGGAGTTTCTAAAAAATACGAGTACATTTTTTACCATATCTATTAAGCCTTAAATGTGCCATACCTTTACTCATGATTGTGTAAAAATGGTTAGACTCATTTTGACTTATTACAAAAAATTGAATTAAAATTATAATCACCGTGTTGCTTAATATCTTTAGAAACAATTTTGAGCAAAATTAATACAGAAATCATTTTAAAATTATAAAATGATGAGTAATGAACTGAGATGTCAGTAATGTTAGTGTGTATTATGATTACTAGTTGCCAACAGCTAATAATATATGATTATTTTATAAGTAAATAACAAAAATAATAAATTGAATAATGATCGATTCTTGCGTTATTTGTAACCGCAAAATACACAACCACATTTCTATTAACATTTTTCGGTAGAGCAATTATTTCCCTTGAATTATAATCGTTTTGTCGTAAAATATTTGTGAAAATATTTTAGCTCTCGTAATTTTATTACGAAAACGTTGGAATACATATATTTTTGATTTACAAAAAACTCTCAAACCTTAAATGTTTATTTTGATCTTAATAATTTCAATTATTTTAATTTCAATTAAAGATTAAAATAAAATTATGGCTTTATCTAAACATAAAATTTACAACAAGACTATTAAATATCATACAGAGTTTTTCTAATTTAGGGCTTGATAGAATTTAACAGAAACTTTTATTGATATAAAATATATTATACGTTTAATGGAAAAATAAGTTATTAAATTTTTATATGGTACACAGTTTGTTAAATTAAATCTTTTTCCAAAATTAATATTGGGGTAGTTTTAAAGAAATTGTGATACGTAATTATTTGTAGAATATTTTTTTAATTTGCAAAATATTGAGCAAAAAGTTATTTATTTAGGATATTTAATATTTTCTATAAGTGCAGTATTTAAATGAAAGGTTAATTTTGCAATTTCATAGGCCACAGAGCTCGAGGCTAATCGCCACAGATGCTTAGATAAATAAACACGTCTAACAACACTTAATTTTTTAATATTTCGTCAACTATAACCGGAGCAAATCGCTATCGATTTGACCGATTTGGAATATTATACTATATTAAAATATTGTCAAACACATACACTGAACAATAAATGAACGTGCGAATTATTTTTAGATTTTTAGATTCGGTTAGAAACTGATTGATCAGATAAATCCTAAATAGAACAGTAAAGGGACAAAAAAATGTGCAATACAAACTTTCTTTTAATACTACTTATTAGATTCAATGATTTTAAAGGAACACATACGAAGAAATTTATGATTGAGTTAACAAGATGTAATGTATTTTTTGGACGATTTCATCACTTTTTATCGATTCCTTAACACAAAATATTAATGTTATTATAAAATACTACGAAACACGTTATAGCTCTATAATTTTTAGAATTCTATAATTTGTTATTTACAGAAAACCCAATAAGCATAATCAATAACAAACTTTAACTTGAAAACTAAAAGAAATTTCAAAACGAATAAATATTTTATAATCACAAAATATTTAATTGAGGCATAATTTAAACAAAATAATTTATTAATATACGTTAAGAAATATTTTTGAATCTTATTAAAAAATTATACATTTATAGCCTTATATTTATGGAAATTATTTTATTCTCAAATAATAGATTATAGTATGTTATATTTATACATAAGCCAATCTATAGTGAAAGCTAAATGTGAAATAGTTATTTCGCAAAAAAAAAAATGAATATAAAGTAATTGCTCATAGCTATATTTGTTTTAGCTAATATTTACGTTCTAAAATATTATACTAGAAATATACAACATTCTTCAATTTCTCTGTTCTTTGAACATTATAAAAATTTTATTTTTTGTAATAGATTAACAAAAAATATTGTCAAAATTGTACAAAAATATAAATGTTGAAGATTAAAGAAACTATTAACTATTAAAATTATTTAACTATAAAACAAATTACTTGTGTAACTTTCATATGTGTAAACTGTAGCTAATCCAAGTTATTCATAACAACGTATTTTTAGAAATGGAGTACTTTGAATAAAATTTAAAGTAAAAATAATCATACATTAAAACTAAATAAAAGTGAAAATAGTGATATATGCTTTAAAAATTTATATACAAACTTTTATGATTAAAATTTACTAAATCACTAAAATTCTTTATTAACTTTTGTTTTTCTATATTTACATAAAGAGACTATATAAAATATTAATTTTTTTGTAATTGTTCATTAGACATATTTTTTATTGTTATTTTACTTATGTTATTGGCTACTTAAACCATGGTAAAAATAAACATTCATTCTTTAAAAATTTAATTATAAAAACTTAATAAAATAAAATTTTATATATTATAAATATTGAAAATTCTCAAAAGTTTCACTTTTTTAATAATTTCATCTGATATTTTTAACAGGGGTCGAATTAAATAAAAATTTTCGTAAAACATTTATATTAATTATTCCTTGTTCTATTATATAATAAGATAACGTACGTTATTCAAAGTTTAATGATGTACAGTTTTTATTTTTAATGTTTTAAATATTAAAATGTTATTCAATTTTTTTCGTTTCAAATTTTAACGTTACTACATTTTTATATTACATTAAATAGGTTTGAAACGTAATTAATTACCATAAGTATTTTTTAATATGAGCCAATGACAATTTTTTAATAGAACATTTGAATAGAATTTTTGTTTTAATAAGAATTGTTATACGTTATTAACTGTATTATGTTTAACACTATTTTACGTTTATTGATATCACGTATTTTTGATAACGTTTTAACAAAATTTTTTATTTAAAATGTTATGATTATAACATTTTTCAAAACTTTTTATTGCTCTTAACTTAAATATATCACGTTTAAATTTTACTTACTTAAAAAAGTTTAATGTAATTTAAAAAAGTACATAAAATATTTTAGTCTGTACTTAGTATTTAAATGTAATTTTTTTGTTAAGGTGTTAATTATTATTTCGAATAAAATTAATTACATTTATCTGATATTAAATACTACAAAAAAAAAAAATAGTTCATTCATGAAAATATAATTGAAATTGATTTTTTTTGGTATAATTCTTGGAAATCTTTTATTCTTATCTATACATAAACTAATAAGGGTAACTGTCGACTATTATGGTAAATATTAATTTAAACATTAAAATTAATGCTTCTATAAAAAGTTTTAAACAATAATTTATTTCATTAAACTAACTTTAAAAATAATATTGATGCAATATACTGCCTACCTTAATCCGATGAGGCGCTGGTAGATAGGTGAAAACTTTATCGGTACACAACTCACGCGTCTTTATTTACTACCGTTTCGTGCGCGTCGTAACCACTACACTAGTTCAGGAATGAATGGACCACTTGGGATTCGCGATTGCGCTCATATAATATCAGTTTTGTGAAAGTATCAAGGTAAGTATGATGGTTTTGGTGGTGTGTTTTTATCTCATCTTGCAGGGTCAGCTTCTCAATTCTCGACTTCAAATTTTTATGCATTATATATCTACTATTTATCTACGGAGGTCCAGTAGAACTATGCAGAGCACACTTGACACACCTTATGTCCTCTTCGGGTCATATGTGTGTAAGGCTGTGACTCAGGTTTTCATTGAAATCAAACGTTTGATACAATTCCATTTATAAATCGCAACATAAATTGTTAAAAACTGTATCAATCAACCAAAACTATAAACATTTATTACAATACATAAATTTGAAATCACCACTCGTAATATTATATAATAATATTCATAATATTTATTTAGGTTCTCATTTTATTTATTTTTAAGTGGAATAGCACTAGGGATCAACTATCAGATTACAAAAAAAAATTTTTTAGTTTCAATCTAAACAAGTACTTGTTCCCTAAAAATTACTATCAACATAATAATCAGTTAAATTTTTTGTGGTATAATAGAAAACATTTTTTTCTATATACAAATTTCTACATAAATTATAAAATATACTGAAAACCTTTTTTTGCAACTTTCTAGAATTTAAATATAAATTACACAAATATTTTATCTCGCCAGAGTATTCGAAAATGAAAATATAGGCTTACTTTAATTGATTAGATTGTACAATTTATGCAATAAAATTCAATTTTTCGAATAAAAGTACCTGTAAAAAAATACATCTTCGAATTATAAACTTTTATTGATAGAAATTATTTTATTGGGACGAATTGAATTAAGTAAAAGTTCACTCAAAACTTCTATTGTAAAGTTATTGAAATTACTTTCTTGCTTTTATCTTTAGTATTCGACCACAGATATAGATGATAAACGATTTGAGATATAAAAGCTACATATATTTTTTTTCGTTTTACAAATAATAAAAAACATTAATATTAATCACAGATACTACATCGTTTATGCACTGTGTCAATTAAAAAATATAATCGATAAAAATTTTAGGGGTCAACAGTTAAAAAACCACGCCCTACGCCTTGAAATCCAACTAATAATGCTTACCTAAGAAATCCTTTATTTCAATTTTATAACATATATACTACAAAGGTGGGAGAATATATTTTTAAATTCATTCGTTAGCGAAATCTTGCAATTTATTCCAATATGTATACGAGTTATATAATCTACAAAATTTTCTGGTCACTGTCATAAAGCAAATTATGAATTTACTTTCATAGGGCGTGGTTCATATTTAATGCTACCCTAACTAAAAATTTATGCATTCTTTAACATTAAGTGTTTTTGTATAAAGCGTAATATATTACACACAAACAAGTTATTTCAATAAAATTAAGTTTTTATACACAGTTATCAATTAAATTCTATGAAAATTAAATGCTATTTAAATTATTTATAAAAATATAATACAAAAATTTAATCCTCTTTAGTTGTACTATTATTAATTTCATAGTGATATAATTAAGTTTATTTCTTGGAGAATAAATATATATATACAGAATAATCCTTTTAATACTCCATGATAATGAATTTTTCTTAAAATAATAATTATATTAGGAAATTATTTTTATTATTTTAACATTTTATATATATATATATGTATATATTTATTAATTTTTAATAATAATAGTAATAATTAATAATTAAGTTTATCTAAAATAATTATAATAATTTATATAATAATTATTTTAGTAAAATATTAGATATTTTAACATAAATGTATTTTTAAATAAAGATTTATACAAAAAAAAAAGGTGAAAAAACAAGTATTAAGAAGATATCTAATATGAAGATAGAAACAATATTTTTATAAAAAATTTAAACGAAAATATATAACGTTAGTTTTTTTATTTTTTAATTAAGCTCATTCCACCTTTCTTTTAATTAAAATTAGAAATTAACTTAATTAAACTTTGTATAAACTAATATAATTAAAATAAAAAGTCGATACAAGTTGAAATTGTATTAATAAATATTGTTTTAAAAAGTGTTTCTTAATAAAAAATGTTTTTTTTAATCTATTAGATATTGTATTATTATTTATATTAAAAATATTAACACTATTTATTTTCAATCTCCCACGGGAAAATAACATCAGTTTAAATATATTAGTTTTAATATAAAAATAAGGTTGGACACATTATTTTATAATATTTTACATAACCCTTAAGTTCAAACCACAATTTGGTCCAATTATTTTCAAAGTAGTTGATAAAAATAATTTAAATTCACTTCCCTTTCATCAAGTTGACCTAAAGACGCCACTGGTATACATTGGTTCATTAGAACTAAATATTCCATATTTTATACATTGATTTTTATTAGGTAATTTATGTACCTTATAAATATTTGTCTGATAGAGTATCCAAACTAAGGTCATGCAATATAAATATAAATTATAGTTTTCTAAACTATAGTAGAATTACGTAGAGTAGTATACGTAACTTTCATTTTGTCTAAAATGTTCTAAGGTATACTTATAATTTTTATTCATGTACTGTACACACCCGCACTCGCATAACTGGTTTTTTTATATAAAACGTATCAATGGTTTCGATGGCTATCTTTAAAATTTTAGACATTATGTCTACGAATATATTTTAAATTCCATAAACTTTCGATTTTAAAAGGAGATCGATTTAATTTGATGTCATTGGTTACATTATCAACATACCCTTAAGCGTGACACGATTTGCATTTATTACGTATAAGAAATTGAACAATAGTGAGACAAAATTTGTATTTATTTAAATATTATAATAAATCATGAGCAATTGTTACCTGAGCATATACCAAAGCCTTAGTTCAAATTACGTCGAGATTTTTACTTATTATGTTTAACCTAAACAATATGAGATGAACTTATACAATTTACATTAAACCATTTTACTTATCGTTAACTGGACTTTATACAAGAGCTCTGCATGGTTCGGTCCAGAATTATACTTCAAATAATAAATGGGTCCGGTCCTAGTTGGTCTGAAGTTTAAAATTACCGGTCCATTATAAAAATTTAAGGGTCCCGATCTTTAAATTGAGATAATGATTCCCTATAAAAAGCTGTGTAATATTGTAAATATATTTAATTATAGATAATTGTACGAAAACTGTATATTCTTACTTTGTTGTATTGTGCATTATTGTTTTTACATGCACGTAAAATAATTATAAAAAAAATTCATAATTTTTATCGTAACAGATTAAATTGAATTCATTATAGTGAACGATAATAACACTCCCTAAAAATTAATATAATAAATGTCACATAAAAGAGGATTACACACTAGGCGTTTAATCGCGCGCGTACTCATTTTTAAATCTCGGCGATTAATCGCTTTATATAAAACACTCGAATTTAAATTGAACCATGCACATTATGACAAAAAACATGCTTTTGGATGCGACCAATCGCTAAATTAAACAATACAAATCGCATGTTATCATTCATGTTATAATAGATCATATATTTTATAAAATATCATGTAATAATACTTAATGTAATTTTTTAGGTTGAGTTGGGTTTGTTCTTCGGGTACTACCATATAAACATACGGTAATACCTGAAGAATTCTTTGGGATAACTTCTCTCTAAGTTGAAAAATTAACTTGACATTGACCTTCTCGAAGTTTTTTTTAAATTTAGGGAGTGAACCCAATGTCTACGAACACTTGTTTTTTTATTTATTTTTTGTTTTGTTGTACTACAATGATACATGGCAAACACAACGCATGCAACTTCTACATCATCTAATATTTCCATTGTAATTTATTTTATACTTTGAAAAATAAAAAAAATAATCAGAGCAAATTCTTCTACGAGGATTTCGAAACTGTTGTTATTATAATGTAGCTTTTGGCCGGCTAATTTTCTTTATAAAAACAACATCAAATCGCTTGCAGTATGCGTATGAACGGCGTTCACGTTCTTAAAAACGAGTACGCTAGCAATTAAAGGTCTAGTGTGTAGCCTCTAAAAGCTGTATTGTTTAAAAAAGTGATGGGCATTTTCAAATATTTTAAACTATCGAATAACTATTCGAATTGTGTTTATATAACCGTATAGTTTATTTTTAGCATAATTAACGAATAGTTTTAAAAACTATTGAAATATATTGTGTAACTATCGAATATTTTTACGATTCAAATATTTTTTGAAAGACTATCAAATAGTTCGATAGTTACTATTCAATATTTCCCATCACTAGTTTAAAATAATGACCCACGTGCTATTAGAATTTCTAAGAATTGTGATATGTGATTTAAAATCATGGAATATAATGTATTACTTTATTACAACTGTCAATCGTTAAGTATATTAATAAATGGTTTTTCTTTGTATTTTGGAATAAAATTATCGTTTTTATTGACTATAATTATGTCTAGACATATAGTGTTCAGTATGTAATTAAATGGGTTTCAATTGTTCTCATTGTTTGTATCAATAGTCATGTTTTCTAACTAAACAGATCTATAAAGACTATTACGACCATTAACAATATTATTTTATTTCAGATAGATTTAAAGCGGTGATTTGAAGAATTACCATTATATTAATAATCAATTGTACATTATGTTGGATAAAATAAAGTTTGAAAAATATTAATCATTTGGCTTTATTTGTTTATCATCGACGAAAGATGACAGTTTTATTCAATCTGCCTGTAGAAATTTATTTTTATAATAAGATTTTAATTATTTAAATAATAAAAATAAGCACATATGCTTTTTAAAAGTATTTTGTTATAAAATCATAAAATATTTATCGATGTGAAATAATATGGTAATGTTATTACAAAGTTGCTCAATAATAAATCGTTATTGTAAAAAAAAATAATAATTAACAATAACATTTTCAAAGATAGTTTGCGAGGCACAACTTAGAAATCATTCTGTATGTATAAACTAAATATGTTAAATTCTGAACAACACGAAGTAAAAATTACTAGGGTAGGTCTACTCAATGAT